GGCGAAACACCACCCATTAATGCTAATCTTTGTGAACTTACAATATCATTAAGCCATTTGTCTTGAAATACTCTTCCAATATCATCACCAGAATCAATAGCATACATTATCAAATGCTTCAATTTAATATCACAATTTTCAACAACAATTAAAGATCTTAGTGTCTTCAAAAAGATAGATTTGATTTTTTTTTCATTCTCTTCATTAGCTTTTGTTTCTTTAGATTTATAATCAATGCTTATGTTCATACTAGCAATTTCAAATTTTTGAATAAAAACTTCTTCTGGATATTCATCTATTAATTCAAATCTTGGATCATTAAAAGTGAAAAATCTCATCAAAAAATCTACAAAATCTTCATTTATATGTAGTTTCAATGGAAGAGTCTTTAAACCCATTCTCAATTCTGAGGTTAACAAATGAGGATCTGGTCTTACATTTTCAAGTTCAAAATCAATCAATTTCAAATTTTGTGCAAAACAAGAATGATCCAATTGGGGAGATTTGAAAGATGTCAAAAATTTATTGAAATTTGAAGATTCAACATTATCCAGTATATCAAGATTTTTTGCAGATACACAAAATCTAGTCATGACAAATGCATCTTCTTTTTTCAAGTCTTGTGTTGGTGAAAAATCTGGTGTCAAATTTTCAAACTTGATCTCCAATCTATCTACAACAAGCTCACCAGAATGTTTTTGAGATTTACCTAAAAATGGTAAATTTCTTTTCCCAAAAACAAATTCTTCCAAGTATCCAGATTTTTCAATATTAATAGGGTTGGTTTTGTTGCTTTTGGAAGGAATATAAATGGAATTGAATAAAATATTTGGGGCTTCATTCACTTCCTTATTACCATCATTTTCTTCTCCCTCTTCTTTTTCTTCTTCTCCTCCTCCTCCTTCATTATCATCAGTATTTTCTTCCTCTTTTGTTGAGTTTAATATATTTTCTTTTATCAAATTTTTTGTGTAATCAAAATGATATCCTTCAAACATTTTCAAACTTAAAGTTTCCAATTGTAGATTCAAGTTAAATTTAGATAAATGATCATTAAAACCCTTTAAATCAGTTCTGTTTGATGGTTTATTAACTTTTTTATTTATCAGATCAGACAAAAAGTTTTTTTTCAACTTAAATTTCTTTTCAGTTTGGAATCCGGTATTGTTTTCTACATCATTTACAGAGTCTATAATATCTTCACTCTTGTATAACAAATTTGCAGTGAAAAAATCTTCACCAAATAAAATATCTTTTAAATTCAAAGGTGGCTTTTTACTATCCACGTCCCTTTCATATTTCAAATTATCTGGGAAACTTTCTGTATATGAAATATCCATCATTGTTTGAATAAAACAATGGAAAGAATCACAACAAAAATTACCAAGCATCTCATCAATATTCAAATTTAAAGTTTTGTCAACAAATTGAAAACTAATATTATCAACTACCACAGCATCATTAACTGTATTTAATTTTTTAAAACTTTCAATCAAACTAATACTAAAAGTTTTAATTGCCCCTTTTAATTTATTGTTATGGTAAGTTGCAAATATTCTAGGTATCTTCAAAATGACACCTGAATTAATTCTGTATGTTTTTGCCACAAGTTCCAAAGTTTTGAATTTTAATTCTATAGACCTATCATCTAAATTATTTTTGAATATAATTATTATAGCTTCATTGCCACTTTTTGATTTTTTGGAACTAAAATTCAAATGTTTATGAGAGATTTTAAATTTTTGTACTGTCAAAGTATCAAAAGTTGGAATACTCTCATTTGTATGTTGATTTTTCACAAAATTTCCATATTCAATGCCTATTAGTTCAATTTTATAGCCGTTTTTATCAATACTTTCACTATGAAGTTCAAATGTAAATTCATTTATTTTAAAAGTATATTTGTTTATACTCTTGGAAATAAGAATATTAAATGATTCAATTTGAAATTTCATGTTATCAAATTCAACTGTAAAAGGAGAAACCATTATTTCTTGAGGTATAAATTTTTTGGGATCATTATTTGAAATGAAAAAAAATGAAATATCTTCTAGTGAAAGAATGACTTTGGATTCATTTTCATTGTTTGTATGTTGATTATTTTCAAAGTTTTTTGAAAAAGAAGATATTGCACTCATATAAATTGAAGAGCTCATCATCGTTTCATCATCACTCACATCTTTTTCTTTTTCTTTATAATTACTATCAATTATCTTGATTCCATAAAAGTCTAAAAATCTTTCATTTTCTTTAGATTTAGCTTCCATTGATTCAATATCTATAATCATACCCATATTTGTGAAAAGTATTCTTGTATTTGAAAATTTTATTTGAAAATTAGATAGCATCATATCAATAATTTTATTCTTAAATGAGTCCAGTAAAGATTTAGGAGGTTCGATATCATCATCTAATGAAATATCCTCGGGAAGATTGTCATCATAATATTGGTCAAATTTTTTGGCTTCTTCTTCTGTATTTATATCAGCAGTTCTGCTTGTGTTTTTAAAATCTTCAATTGATCCCATAAAAGAACTTGCTATATCCAGCATAACACTCTTTGTATAACCAAAACTATCAATAGAAGACATAGAATTTTGTCTTTGAGAATCTGTATTCATTGAAGATATGGAGTTAGATGAATTTGAAACTTTAGAATGAGACTTAAAATTGTCCTCATGTTCATCATCACCATTTACACTACTTTTCATAAGATTTACAGATTTCATTAAATCTTCTGTTAATTGATTTACATTCAGGGAAGTATTACTACCATTAATCATAAATTCACCCCCTTCAAACTCGATTTTTAATCCATTACTACTTATCTCTAACTGGATAGATTCAATTAATCCGTTTATTTCATCATATCCACTGAGTTCTTGTTCTTTATTACTTTTATCAATTTTGTAGTCAATTCTTACATCTCTCATTGTAATAATTCCATCTTTACATGTAAGTTTATCCTTATCAACAAGTAAAGGGGATTTGTCTATGCAATATAAAGCCACTTTTTCATATATTCCATTCTTAGTAAACCAAGACATTTTTTTTTGCAAATTTACTTATATATATTTATTTGTGTGTAATATATTAACATTAAACTTAAGCTTATGGTTTATTCCTGTTTCTTTGGCTTCAATCATTAATGTTTATAAAACACTTTTTTATCAAGGGAAATAAATATAGACTAACGCCAAAAGCTTTTTTTTTTTGTTTATCAAAATCAAAGGGATACGAGCCTATCTGTGTAGCCCACCAAAAAAAAGAAACACCCAAACAGATAGGGCTTATAAAATTAAATCTAAATCATGTGACTTTTGCAAGCAAAGTTTGTTTACATTTAAAAAAAAAAAAAATTAGTAAAAAATACTTTTAATAAGTACCGTTAACTAAAAAAAATAAAAAATCAAAAACTAAAGTATAAATTTGTAAACAAATTTTTTTTAATTAATCATTTTTTTTTAAATATCTTCTTAATTGTTTATAAAATAAAAGGAATATAAATATACATACATATATATCAACTTATTTATCTATTTATTTGACAAAGTGCTTCTTTAAACCTAAAATGGCATGTTTGATCATGTCCTTACCTGTAATGACAGTGGTCTTGTATAAAGTCTTGACATCCAAAGTTGAAGAGAAACCATCAGCGAAACCAAATGGCAACATACCTGGAATGAAACCTTGAGCTAATTCCAAAGCAAAACTTTCTCCAGGCATTCCATATTGTTTAGCATCACCTCTGACCAAATGATGGGTCATACCTGGCTTGTAAACTTCTCTTTCTGTACTGTATGGTAAAGCAGCCCATTGTTCACCTTTCAAAATAGTAAAGTAGTCGTTAGAAGTGTGAACACCAGAGTGACCTTCAGTACCAACAGCAGTACCAAAGATAATCAAGTATTCATGTAAAGAAGCATGTAGAATGATCATTTGACCCATAGCACCACCAGCATTGTTGAACATCCAGTCTTCATCATTGTATTGGTTGATGTTTTCAGAACCATAGACAGTAGCTAATTCATTTCTTAAATCAACAAACATGTCTCTTGTTTGATTGTGAGTTGTGACATTTGGATGTCTACTAATAACAAGATTAGAAATAGTGTTTAAGGTTACTGGATCGAAGACATAGTTTTGAGAACAGATATCAAAGATTTTGTAAAAAATCAAAGCAACAGCAGCTAAAGACAAAATACACTTCATTTTTTTTTCCTAATGTAATATACAATAAATATGAATATTGAAGTTGGTTTATGGATTCTATTAATTTTGATTCTTTGAAAAATAATATTAATAATTGTTCAACATTTTATTCGTTTTTTTTTCAAGATAAATATTGATTAAGAAAAAAAAAAAAAGTTTACAACAAATTATAAATTAAAAAAAAAAAAACAAAAAAACTTTCAAAACCGAAATTTCAAAAATTTGTTTATAAATTAATTTATAAACGAGGGTGCATCGTTTTTAAAAAAAAAAAAAAAAAATTTTTATTAAATGTACAATAACAAAAGATATATTTATAGTAAATATAATTGTTCTAAATGCTAAAATAAAAGATTACTAAAAGCGATATATCCAATTTAATTGGTTAAATAATAAATTTAAAAAAAGAAAAGAATATATATTTCTCTTTTTTAAACCTATAGGATTGATTAAAAAAAATTAAAATCAATATATATTGTAAACGAATAAAAAAGGTTAGGAGAAAAATATTACAGGCAAATAAAAATTACAAAATTGTAAATAAATCACGTGTTAAAATAGAAAAACTACAACAAAATAAAATTTAATTTGCTGTTGCACATGTTAATGTTATAAAAAGACTAATAGTAGTAGTCTTTATATATAGATAGTTGAGATTAAATAAGTCTAGTTTAAAAACATTATAAAAAAATAAAATATTAGTGTTAAAAATACCAATATTTAATGTATATATAATAGTGACTAACATAGATATTTTAAAAATTTAAAATTCCAATAAAAATTAACTAGCATCGGTGGTTTAATGGTAAAATTCAACGTTGCCATCGTTGAGCTCCGGGTTCGATTCCCGGCCGATGCAAGCTTTTATTTTTTTGATAATTTTTTATAAAAAATATTATTCACATACAATTTTTTATTATTATTTTTTTTTTTCAAACTTTTTTTGTTTTGTTTTGAAATGTTGTCACAAGAATTCTTTTTTTTTTATAAAAATAAAACAAAAACAGATCACAAAACAACCAACAACTTTCAAACTATTACTATTTATTATTAAGTACTTTTTTTTTTTTACTAATTAAAAAAGAAACCAAAATGTCATCAATATATGATCAAACAGCTTCTTGGTCAAAGTATGGTTTAATTTTACATGCAGATGGTCCGAATATTGGATTAACATATCTTGAAAATTTGAATGGTAAAAATTGGAGACTTGCACCATCTAAATGGTATAAAATAAGTAAAAAAACTGAAGTATCAAAGAATCTTGCTACTGATTTAGATCCAGTATCTGTTTTCTCAAACACACTCCCTATAAGTCATATTCAATTCAATAACTGGGCTACATTAAGTGGTGAAACTGCTGCTGTTATAGATATTGGTGGAAATGTAACCTTGGTAACATTGGGATATGATAAGGAAAGAATTTGTACTTTTGACAATTTTACTATATCTTTTCAAGACATTGTACATCAAATTCCTGGAAGTAATGATACTATAGATACCAAATCAACAGGTTCAACTTATTATGATTTGAAATATTTTGCTAATCAAATATCTGATGGTTACGATGGAAAATATACACAACCTTGGAGTGGTGATTCTAAAATAAATAATGAAAATGAAGACCCAAATGGAGAAGCAAATGTTTCAAATGATTCTACAGAGAAAGATAAAAATATTCCTACAGGTATTTTGAGTTTTCAATGGATAGGAAACTCTAAAAAAGTCATGACTAGTAAATTACAAGCAACTTGGAAAGATAGTTTAAATATTGGCAACACAAACAATAGTAACAAATCTGTTTTGGTAAATAAATTACAATTTAACAATTTACCGTTATTCGGTTGCTATTACCCACACTATATCAAACATGTTTTTTGTGCTATAAGAAAAAATTCAGAGTTTGTTTTATGGTATAATTTTTTAAACTCTAGAACAACAAGAAAAGTTTTCTTAAAACTAGATGTTAATTTAGGTGAGGAATTGTTAGATGACTCTCAAATTGCTTATTGCCAAGAAACAAACAATTTTTTGATTACCACATTACAAAAGGATAAGAATTTATTGAAAGTTTACAAATTATCCATTGATTGGAATTTGAAACAATATCAACTATTGCAACAAAAACAAGAGGAACAACATCCAAATATCAATGCTAATGAATTGCCACATCCAATTTTAAAGAGTGAAGAAATTGTATCTTTCACTTTAGATACTCAATTAAATGGTATGGATTGCACTTTCATTAAACATTATTTCTTGAACAGATCTTATGAAGACAATTCTTCTCAAGATGCTGAATTAATCTTACAATATGAGTTAAAAGATTTATTAAATGGTACTGTTGATACAATTTTAAAAAGATATATGGTCAAGAAAATGTCACCAACTACATTATCAACAAATATTCCATTATCTCAAGATTCTAATGTCAAGTTGACTAGATATCAATTGAAATATTTATTGGATTTGGAATTTACAGGTAATAAAGTTTTACAATTAGATTTTCATAGCATTTTAGATCTTGTAACTATAAGATTAGGAGATGGTGAAATTGAAACTTTCAAAAGATCTAATTGGATGAATTGTAAAAATAAAAATGATTTGATTAATAATGGTCAAGGGGTAGTGAATGGTAATTTAGATATAAGTACACCTTTGGAGGTTGGCTTTAAATTCAATAATATTCACAAAGATGACAAAGAAGTTGAATGGTGTATTATGTCACCTTTAGCTGCTGGTTTATTGTACAAGTATAAAGGTGATTTTAATTTGAAGTTTGAAACTTATATGAAAGCTGATAAGATCTTGAAAATATCAGAATTACAAATTATTTCTTTGGCACATAATTTTGTTCACTGTACAACTCATCAACCATGCGGTGGTGAAGATGTGACTTTGGCTATATTTAATTTTTTGAATACGATGCCTCAAGAGAGTAATAATACAAAGAAAGATATTTTATTTTTGATTTTAAAAACCTGTTTTAAATTCTTTGGATTCATGGCTAACTCTGAGACTGATTATATTCAAAAGATTTTAGTCACAAAACCTATGCAAAAATTGACTCTACTTCACTTAGAATTATCACTTTCTATAGATGATAATGAAAATTCTACAGTTATAACTCGTATTTTAATACAATCTAGAACTTTCTGGTTTGCTATATCTCAAGTTAGCAAAACTGTTACACAAGCAGTCACTAATTTAAATAATATTCAACAGCAACAAGACAAGAGTAATGGAAGTAATATATCAATTCTTTCATTGACTCTTTCATATACAAAACAGGATGCTATTGAAAGTATAATTACATTTACAACATGGTTTTTCAAATTGATAAATTTGATTAACAAGCAAATGATTTTGATATTGAACCAGCAAACAAACAATGATAGTAATGCTGAATTTATATTGGCTGTTATTGGATCAAAGATCACAAGATCAATGCTTTTGGCTAATATTGCAGAACTTAAAAAACTTACAAAGCTTATAGTACAGTTCAAAAATACAACAGTATCTATCTTGCAACAATCATCAAACAGTTTCTTGGATTTAATAAACCATAATTCTAAATTGCTTACAAATTTTGAAATTTTCTTGACAAAACTTGATGAAGCTTTGAAAAAAGCTGAAACTGATGAACAACAACAAGCCAATCCAAATAACAATATTAAACTTGATGGAGCATTTAAAGAAACTTTGATATTTAGCAAAGGTGAAATTCATAAAAGTTTCATTAATTACAAGCATATTATAATAAAACTTTATAGCTCCTTGGTATTACCAAATTTAGATATTTCAAAGGCATTCTTTGAAAATCATGATACTGATTTGAAAATTTTTACAAAAGAGTTTTTAATAAATCAAAATTCTAGAGAAAATTTGAATAAGTATAATAATAATAATAGTGTTATTGTTGATAAATATGATGAATTATTTTTTAAAAATTACAACACAAGAATTGATGATATAACTAAAGAGGTGTTAAAAAATCCAAAATCAAAAAAACAGTTCAAACAATGTAACAGATGTAATAGTATAACTATCTCATCAGTAAAAAACATAAGCCAAGAAACAGGTCTAGATCATTTTGATGATGAGAATTACTATTATTTCAATAGACACATTTACAATGGATTATCTCCAAATTTAATATCAAGAAGATGGAATAATTCATATTATCAAATGTGTGTCTGCTCTGGTGTTTTAAAAACTTTGCCATAACTATAACTATATATATTTATATATTTGTAAATGATTTTAATAACAAAAGTGAATAAATAAATATATAATCTTGACTTTTAATTAATTTGGTAATTAGTTTTCCTAAAAGAGTAATTATTAATGTTTTTTTTGCTACCCTTAAATATGGCGTTTGTTGTTTTTACCCGGTCTAAATTAATATTTTTAGAACATTTTCAAATAAAAAAAAAAAAAAAAATTTTTTTTTTTTTTAAACAACATTTCTATATCAAAAATATATATTTATTAAAAAAAAAAATAAAAAAAAAATCATACATATGTGATCCCACTAAACACGTAATTGATCAAGATCAAAAAACAACAACAAACAAAAAATTCATACAATCCGTTAAATATAAATAACGAAAGTAGCAACCATAGTGGTATTAAATCAGATTATTTTACTTTCTATATATTTTTTTCCTTAAAATTTATAAATAATGTCTGATCAAAATAATGGTAAGAAATTACAGCCGCTTTTGAATAAAGCAGGTATGCCTGTCAAGAAAAGAGATAAAAGTAAACGTTACTCAATGTTTTACGAATCAACTGAACATAGAAACAACATGGCTAAAGAACAGCCAGAAAATGATGATACCAATAATGATGATAATATGGTTAAATCAAATTCTTTAAATGATTTAGATGAACAAGAGGACAAATCCAAGGTTTCTTCCTTGAGACATGCTAAAAATTTAAGATCCTCTTTGTTTGTCAAACAGGATGATGATATGGTTAAATATATGCATCAGAGATTTGAAAAAATGGAAAATATCAAAAATAATAATGTTTCAAATACTAATAAAGAAAATATTTCACTAGGCCAAAGTACTAATAGTAATAGTTCAGCTGAAGAAGAAGAAGACGAGGATATTGACGGTTCTCAAGAAGTAAAGACAATGAATATTCAATTTAGTAGTAGTCCTTCATTAAGTGCTTTAGCTGGGTACTTGAATAACAACAGTCCACCTAAAAACAAAAATACTAATATATTAAGTAGGAAACCTTTTAATAAAAATATGAACAATATATTTGAAGAAGAAGACGAAGAAGTGGAACAGTTGGAAGAGAGAGAAAATGAGAAAGAAAAAAAGTTTTCTCTAGCTGCAAGCGAACATGCTGCAATATCAGCAAAAGAAACTTTCAAAACACCTGCAGAAAAAATTGAAAAACAAAATCTTGTAACAAATAACAAACTAAAAGAAACACAACCTTTGAAATTATCCCAACCGTCTGCTCAACCTATTTCTACCTTTAATAAGAGAACAACAAGTCTTTCAAAAGACAGTATTAAAAAGAAAGAACAACAAGAAGATAAACAAAAAAAAACATCAATATTTTCTATTTTCAGGAAAAAATCAATAAACAGAAAATTAAGTAAAAATGAAAATGAATATCTTCCTGTTTCCGAAACATTTAGTAATAAATTAGCTGGCTCTGCAAACAATAGAAATAATAAGTCATCTGTACTTTCTTCTCTACGACAAGTTAGTGAATCAAAAGCTTCACAAAATGATTCTTCTTCTTCAAACACACTTCCAAAAACAAGAAGAAACTCCACAACTGATGATGTCCCAGTGCAAAGAAAAGATGTTGGGCTACGAAATTCAACCC